AAAAAAAAAAAAAAAGCAAAAACAAAATGGAATGGCTATTTTGAGAATTTTCATTTCAATCGAACAAAAGTATCGCAAAAATGTCATAATAATGCTATGAAATTATTTCATACCAATTCTAAATATTCAGGCTGATGATAACTTTTCTACGAAATTAAATAATAAAATATACGGTTCATAATATACGGTAATACAGTGATACGGTAAATGTGATGAATACATTGATGCAATGGTAGATGAATAAATGCATCGAAATTGCAAGAATGTTTTCATTTATTTAATGAATGTACTTGTTTAATTTACCAAAAAAGAAGTTGAGAATTAAAGATATCAAAGTTCAAATTCATGAAAATTGATAGGAATTACGATTGAAATTTTGATGGAAATAGTTTGAGAACAGAAATTTTAAGTATAATGATTGATATGATTAATATTTATGATATCAGTTATTAAATGATAAAGGAATCAGCTGTTGAAACTGAAAGATTAAAAGCTAAAAATTCATTGTATTTCCGTTATCACAAAAATATTCTACCATAATTCATTATCATTTATTGTTTTTTTCATTTGATGATATATCATTTTTTTTTATTCCAAAATTTAAGTTTTTAAAAACTATTTTTACAAAGCGCTCTTTTTATTTCCATTTAACAAAAGTAATCTATTTTAAGTTTAATTTCTGCAAAATAATTTTTGCTGCGCCATGTAATTAAATTCCTTTAAGTGTTGAAAATTAAACTTTCTTAAACTTCTCTCTCATCCCCATTATAAAAGTTTCAAGAATTGGGATTTTAAATTCAAAACAATCAACTGTTTCAACTCAAAGTAATAACACATTGCGGAAAATACAAAATGTCACCTTAACCACTATTGTACTTTCAGTCACCAAATAATTTTCATTATGATTTTATCAGGTCAATAAAGAATTGTATATCACTTGCTTTTTCAAATCCAAATTTCTGATTGAGTTGCAATAATTAATTAAATTTAGTAATGATAATGGGAAAGTTGCTTTATAAGAAGAATGAAAATATTGCTTAATCATAATTAATTAAAATATTTTGTAATTGAAGAATTATATTAAAAAAGATTTTGACATCTACGAATGAATTGTACTTAAACATTAACAATAAAACAAGAGGAGAAGAAGAAATTTTAGAAATGTTTGCATAAATGGGTATGGGTATTCGACTAAATGGGTATTTAAATTTGAAAATGGATGGATAGATGGGTTGATCTGCTTCAATGTGCATCATTTATGGGTAAGTTGACCTGTATCTGTCAACAAGTATTAATTATTTTGTTGGGAAGGTTAACTGATGTGAATCGTTTAAATTCAATATGATTCTCTTTTTGTCACATCACTCAGTTCATGGATTAGTAATCAAGTTTACCTCTTTATCAATCATCATTAATAAACTGTCGATGTTACAGTATGTGGGATGAATCTATAATACAAGGGAAGAAAGGAAATGCATGTGTACATATCTCAAAGGTAATCCGGAAATATAAAACTGCTCTTTGGCTGGAATTGTTGGCCAGATATGACTCTCTTTTGGAAATATCCTATAAGAGACAAAGAAACCATATCAGACAGCCACAACTAGGCTAATTAGTAATTATTGTAATTTTGGTCGATCATTAGTTGACAAAGATTTCGTATTTAACTTAAAACTTCCTGGACATAACTTCACTTGATTTTCAACCCTCGTCATTTCCGTTTTCTCTCCTTATGTACAGTATCGAAGGCTCAAATGTAAAAGTTACTCTATTAAACAAAAAAACTTGAAAATATCGATTTTTCGGCATAATAAATATGAAGTAAAAAAGATTACAACCATCTTTTAGTAGTAAAATTAGAAAAATTAATTCTGTAAAATATCACAATGAAAAAAATTTCGCAAAATGTTTTTTCACTTCAATTTTAAAGAAAAGTATAAATTTTTAGAATTACAAATGTCCCAAATGAACTGCAAAAGCATGCAGATTATTTGCATTTTTACAGGTAAAAATGCAATTCATTTAATCGTACACCTTTGTTTCTATTGTATAAATGATAATTTAGGAAGAAGAAATTCTAATTTTCCATTGTTTTTTTTCTTTTTTTTTTATCAGGATAGTTTAATTAGGCGAATAAATTGAACAGAGTTATTTAACGGCTAATGTTGTAAATCGCTTCTAGAAGTTTTACCTGATCTGATTATCATTAGTAAATTTTATTTAAAATGAATAGATATATATGACTGGACTAAAAGTTCAAAGTACAGGTAAATTACAGGTAAAAAATATAAGCAGTTTTCAAGCACAAAAATGATATCCGTATTATACAAATGAATTAGTAAAAAGTTGTTAAACACACTTCAACAAGTTTTATCAGTTAACTTAAAACTAAATTGGAAAAGAATGCATACTTTCTGGACGCACTTTGACTTAAAAGCTTTTCATGTGCAAATTTTTTTTTTTCTTTAAAATATTTTGAGTTCATACCTAAATTGGAAGTAATAAAAGAGGAGAAGGATAATGAAGACAAAGTTTTGTTGCTGATTAAACAGCAATGAAAGCAATTTAGATAATTCATACAGTAATTATAATAGCACTTTTGAACTATAAAATTACTAATTATTATTTAAATAAGGATAATAGCCTGAATAAATTAATACTAATTAATGAACTAATTTGAAGACGTATTTCATGTTTGCTATTTTTCTTTTTTTTTTTTGTTCAAGAAGAGATGAAATGGGCGGTTGTTATCTGACAGTGTTTTTTATGATAAAAGGAATTTGCATAAAAAATTATATTTGTGATATGATATAAAAAATTTGTGGTTAAAAATAAATTTTAAATTTCTGTTTCGTTGTCATTTTGTTAATTTCCTTGCTTATTGATTTTTATTTAAATTAATTGAATAACGATCTTGTTATTTGGAATTAATTATTCGAATAAAATTGTTGACATTGTTAGTTGTGACATCGTTATTCTTCAATTCTATTCCTTTACTTAATTATTTTATTGCTATTCATTTTATTTGAGATTTCATTCAGTGATCAGACAAGTGAGATTTTAAAAAATGTGAGATTTTAGAGAAACTTTTGGTTATTATAATTTTCGTAATTTCATTTTTTTTTCATAATTTGCTTAAGCGTAAGTTATTTACACTGCGAGAATTTATAGGCTGGAGTTGCAAGTGTGATAGCTGTCACTAAGTAATTGGTATTTAATCACTACTCTCTCCACTATTATCAGTTTTTAGAACTATACCGTTGAAATTATAAAATCTTCAGCACTTTTTCAAAAAGCCCATCCTAAAATTTAAAGTTAAATTTTTAAATTCAATTGAACTGTGAAGTTTTCCGAATTTTCAAATCACTGAATGAATAACAATCTTTCATGAACAATACATATCGGCCATTGATCATGGGTCAACATGGATGGGCTGTTTGAGAAAGATTTGAAAATCTTGTCTCTGTTTGAGAACAAAAACACGATAGAGAAAAAGAAAATGGAGTAGAAGATTTGGCATTAACAGCAAAAGTGACAAAAACGAAGATTTGGACCATGACGCACTCTCCCGTGAAAACCGCCTGTTTGATTACTGACGCTACTACTGACGCGCGTGCTCGACGCTTGAAGAAACGCCAAACACGGAATCGACTAACTGTCGATCATCAACATATTCTACATGGCATTCAACGCATCAGAAGAAAAACGATCTTCTTCGCGTAGCAACACAATTTGTCTACGAGTTATCAAACGTGCGCAAAGGAACTGAAATCGATGAACACGCCGGAAACGTGAAACTTTGTCGGTTAATGTTAATAGAATAAAAATTATGCTGCAAATTTTATTAAAGAAAAAAAGTTGTAAATATAAATGAAAATGAAGGAAAAGTTGATGAATTCCTGAAATCAAACGAATCAGCGATTGGGAAAGTTTGAAAAGTAGAAGAAACACCTCTGAAAAATGAATTCCTTGCAACATATATGGAAAAGAAGAGCGGAATTTGTACCAGAAAGATGGATGAGAAATTTTAGAAATTCTTAAATTGATTTTTCCTTTTGCCCATTACTAAAGGATATTTTCCATACATGAATTTTATTTAATTTCAAAGTGATAGAAGAAGTGAGAGGTATAAGAAATTAATGAGAAGACTTGAAGATTTAAAGTTTACATCAGAATTCTCAAATATCAAATATACCTTCGGCTGTTTATCAATTCCAATATTGCAACTCAATTTTAATTCGACTAAAATCTCAATTTATTAGCTAAGAATTTCAATTCATAATATAGTTTTCCTTTATTTTACTGTAAATATGTATTTTTTTTTTAATGAAAAGTATTCCAAAAGATTCGACTAGATGTAGCAAATAAACTAATTAATTAATAATCCGAAACCAAATATGTTAATCGATAACATATTCCTAAACTTGATTGTTCAAAAATTTTTCCATTAACATATTTACCTGCTATTTGAATCCTACCACTGATTTAATGAAATTCAATTTGATTGAATTTCTTGATAATTGTAATGGATTTGATATGCTTTTCTAATATTAAAAATTATCTTTCCCCACTAATTTCATATTTGGGTCAGTACTTTGAGATGTTAATCTTTTAAGTACTAATTGAGAGGTTTGAATTTAGTAAAAAATTTTAGCGTTCAAATAGTAAGCTTTAACTATGCAAATTCACTGATAACTTTCAGCAAATTTTTTCCGAACAATCAGAATTTCAATGATTCAATATTCAGGTAATTATATCTGTAATGGAAGCATTATTATCAACGTTAATTATTAGCAATGAATGGTAATTATCGGCGATTTGCAGCTTAACAATCGTGTTATAAAGTGAATAATTATTTAATTCTTCAAGTACCAAAATTCATAGATTAAATTTCAGCACTTTTATCATAACCGATCAGATGACAACACTTAATGCAATCAATTGAAAGAAGAAAATTGAACTCTATGCTGTAAAACTCCAAGCACTTGGCCACATTCAAACGGTCAAGAAAAATAATGCTTATCAAAAGAGGGACAAACTTACTGAAGTAGCCAAATCCATTTCCTGCAGCTTTGAAAAACGTTATTGATAGTTTGCGCACTGCAAAAATACATGTATATATATACACATATATATATATACATATACATATATATATATATATATACATAGAACTGCGCATTTTGGGAAGATAGCGCCAGCCTGGATTGGTTAATCTTTTTAGTGTTTGTATGAAAAACTTCAATTATTAATAAATTAGAGAAGAAAAAAGGTCTTAAAAAAATAAGGTTTGAAATTGAGTTGAATAGATATGTCGTGATTTATGTTTAGATTTAGGCATATATTGGAATCCTTTTCATTAAATGCAAAATCAGGTCCATATATTAAGAAAGTTTTTCAAGAATCTAAATCTTCCCAGACATGTAATCCTGATAAAAATAGCAACCTGTTGTTATTCGGAAAATAGTTTTGTGTGTGAAATTTTCCTTAAATTATTGTTGAGACATAGCAAGAGTGTCTGAAATACGATAACCGGAAACATCCAAAAAAAGGAATGCTCAACTTTAAGATAAAAAAAACTTTTTGTCATTACCTTCCGGCAAAATTTCACTTCCTTTTCTTTTTTTTGTGTTTTTAATCATCAGTTTTTGAGTAAATTAACAAATGAATATATTAAAGTGATCTTTATCAGTTCTAATTATCCATTTTGGTGGCAATTTATCTGTCATTGACATGCTTGAGAAAATTTACATTCCTAACATATAAATCGGATTTTGGATTGATTAAATACATTCCTGCATTTTAAATGAAAAATTACGCTTTGCTTTTTTCATTCCTTCAATTTTCACCAGTGACAAACGATTGACATCGATTGACATTTAAGAGGAAACTGTTGATACGTCCAAGAATTTGGAAAGTTTTTATTTTGGCCACTTTCCGACAAAATTGAGCAAATTTTTTCTAAAGTTTACAGAATTTTTCAAAAATAATCATCCATCTTCCTTAATTTTTTTTCAGCTAAATTAATCATTAAAGCCCAAAGAATCATTCATTTGGATGAGAATATAACTAAAGTTTTTTTAATACATTACTAACAAATGCAAAAAATTCCCAGACCCTAACTCAGTATGCAAGTGCTTGCATGTATTTTCTTAATAAGCCTAGTTTTTCGTAACGGCCTTAGGAAAAGGAATGTTCTGGGCTCTTTCATTTGAAAAAATTCCTTTTGCCCTATCAATCCGATCGTATTTCTTGCGATGCAAACAAAAGTATTTCTAACATTCCACAAAGATATAATATTTGCATTATTCATTTCAGTGATTATAAATGTAACACTATGATAAAGTTGAAAATCTATCAGTATTTGAAGTTTCCGTTATTTTTCCACAAATAACTTCATTATTTTAAAAAGATAAATGAAATTTATCGTTGATTGATAGTCTTCAATTCGTATCACTAATTATGATTTATAGCAAGTATATGGTTTAATTTAGAAAAATAATTTATCCATGATTAATTAATGAAGTAGAAAATATTAATGAGCATAAATTCAGAATCCCTTAATAATCTTCCAGGAAAAAATGTTTCATAAATAATTAATAGGTTTTTTATCGATTTTCTTGAAGTTTGAATTTTCCAAAAATTTTCTAATACTAAATTTTTTAATAGCTAAAATTTTCTAATAGATAAATTATTTTTTTATAAAATCAAAAGCTATATAATTTCTCTCAATAACATTTCTATTTGAAACATAGAATTTCATTTTCTAATTGCAAAGTTTTAGAAGTATTATTTTCTTAAAGATTGGAAACTTTGGAATTTTTTAGAATTACAAAATTTAAATTCACAGATAATTTGAAAGCATTTTCACTGAAAATTATTTACTTATAGTATTGAAAATAGGAAAAGTTATTTAATTTAAAGTAAAAAAGTTTAATTAGCAATGAAAAACTTACATCGTTGAATACCGTTGTCATCAAATACGGAATGATGATAGGTTGATGAACCGGAAAATTTTTGCGAAGGATTTTTAATAGTATTAGTAAGAAAGGAAGAATCTAGGGCGATAGCTTTAGACGCTGATGGTAAATTGTTGTTGGTATTGAGATTCATTTCATTACGGCTGCATATTTTACATGGATAACAGCAACAGAACAAATGAGTTAGGAAGAATAATGATTGATGATGATTTACCGGTTGTGACTTCGGTAAACTCGTCCCTTTTGCGTCTAATATTTGCTCCCGAACTGTGTCTAACTCTTCTTTTTCAAATAATAAACTTTTTTTGATACTTTCACTCAACGACATTCTGTGACATTTTACATGAACTGTTGTAATTTTTAATTAAAAGTATTAATTGAAATAATAATTTCTTTCTTCACCTTCTCTTTAAATTTCACATTTTTTTTTTTGTCCTAAACGAAAATTTCCAATTGGAGCAAAAGTTTTTGAGTTTGTAAGCCTTTGAGTCTTTGTGTTTTTGAGCTTGATGATTTTACCAAAGCTTTTTTAGGCTTATCTAAAGCCCAAATAAATTAAGAGTAGTGCAGTTGTAACGAGAATTTTTAGTTGTTGTCGTTTTCTTTTGGCTATGAAAGAGGAAAGATGCTTGTCTCGATCATAGCTAATCCATATTCTCGACTAATTCTCGCTTCCTCCATCTTTTCCGCTTCTGTTTCCTGTTATTATCTGCTTACCAGTCCTCCTCTTCTTTTAATAAATTCTTCTATTTAAATTTGCTGCATCCCTTATCATTGATAATATAAGAATTCAAATGTTGCATCAGTCGTAATACCCGAAATGATAGTTAATTATTACTATGACAATATGAGAATTCGATTTGATCCTTCATTAATTAATTAATTTTCACGTAGTGGTAGAAGTATTAAACCAAATTTCGCATATAAATTGTTAATGATTTCATCCTGAAATATAATACGCTAAAATTGTTAGATTAATACAACAAAAAAAAGTGGCTACAGCAAAAAATTTCGAAAATACAACTATTGATCGATTAATTAATTAATTAATTAGTTTCACACAGTATGTTATGAGTGTAAATTCGCTGTAATTTCGTTTTTTTTTTTTTTCAACCATAAAGGTAGGAGTATTATGGAGATGAAGAAATTCGTTTTCTACAGAATGAAACATTTTTGACAAAAAAAAACTGAAGTTTTATTTGCATAATCTTTTTTTTGGATGTTCAAAATTATATAATTTTCGCTAAAGATAGAGAATAACTGTTCTAGGTGACAATCTATCCGCAATGAACCGTCCCATTAGCCGATCAATAATCTATTTTTGAACATAACAGTAATTATCAGAAGCAGCTGTAGGGTAACATATACGTAGAGATAAGAATAATACATTGTAAAGGTAGTATGTCATTACTGTAGGATGTTTTGTCGGTTGCATCTTATGGCATTTACTGTAGTCATACAATAATTCTGATACCGTTAACGAAGGATATTAATGCTGCACTTATAGTTTCGAATTAAGATTAAAATGAGGAAGATTTTTGACATTATGAGATTATCATTAGCATATAGGAAGGAAATAATTTAAATGTGATAACAATGAAGATAAAAATGAAAGTAAAGTAAATTAGGCTCAAATTGTAGGAGGTTATAAAAAAGTAAGTGTCGTGCAGCATGTTGACAGCATTTGTTTGTGCTGTCAACATGCTGCACAACGACATTTCTCGTAGGCGTTTCCAATTTGATGGTGAATAGCACTACTCACCTTCATTGTTTTCACTGAGAGCCATAAATGGATTGGACTTTACGATAGTTATTGCACCCCACCCATATACTACGAAGTAATAGCTATGGAATACTATTAATAGATTAGATATTCGATCCGATCCCATATCCCCATTCACGTCATCGACCAATGATTTCAAGACTTATCGGTCTTCTTGGCTTTATCCTCTTTTGTTAAGTTACTGATCGGTTCTCAAAAGTAAACAATCCATTTCGAAAATTCCTCTCTTTACATTTTTCAGAACTTCAGAATTCTTAGCTTGAGAGATATTCTGAAGCTTTGGAAGAATTTTCCAGCTTTCAATGAATAAGTGTTAGAGGAGTAGCTTTTAAGAATGCATTAATTTTGTGCTTTAAAAGCAGCAAAATAATAATACCCTTTTTGGGAGAACGAAAAATTCGAATTCTTTCTTTCTTTCTCCGAGAAATTGAAGAAATTGGAAAAAATATGGCTTTTCATTTAATCTATCCAACCAAAAATGAACAAGGATAATAGTTGGACTGAAAAATATGAAATATATCATTCCATGAGAGCCAAGTGCTACCAGTTATTAAAAAGATAATACCAAAACCGTATCTGAAGACTAAGCAAATTCAAAAATTTAGCAGCTAACTATGATATCATCTTTTGATGTCACACAAATAACAGTAGTCATATTTGAACACCTAATTTTATTAGTGCTATCATAATGAATGTATTTATTAATGCAACACTAATTCTGATATAGTAGCCAAGACATGCACTTCTTATTTCTTTTTTTTTCACTCAGCCATAGGGCCGACTAACTGTTTATTGTCCATTTTGGTTGGCCAGATTAAAATAAAAGCCATATTTTTCCTAATTCTTTAATTTAAGTGGGTATTATTGTTCTGTCGCTTCAAAACAAAATTAATGCATCCTTAAAAGCAATTCCTCTAACATTTATTTATTGAAAGTTAACAAATCCTGATAAAATTAATTCTCCTTCCTTCAGAATATTTCTTAAGCTAAGGATTTTGAAGTACGGAAAGTTGTAAAGAGTCGAAGTGATTGAATTGCTTCTTTCTGAAAATCGACCAATAAAATAATCTAACAAGAGAAGAGAAAGAAAGGTAGAACAAGAAAGTGCTAAGAAAACCGACAACTCTTGAAATTTCCACACCACCTTCACATTACTAATTACTAATTAAGTAACATCTTCTCCTGAAGAACATTGATTACACCAGTAGTCATTTGAAAGATGGCATTGGATATGTGACAAATGATTTTCTTACTATAAAAACAAACTGCAATGTGCTCCATCAATTTCATAATAAAAGGAGGAAATGAATGATATGAAAGGAATTTGACAAGAAGTAAATAATTGGAAATAAAATACAGTATCCATTATGGAGAAACTTTATGGAAAATAAAATTTCGATGTTAGGAAAATGTTGCAAATTGAAAATCGGTCAAAATACAGTTTAGTCTGCTAATTGTATCAGTATTTTGTGTGTTCCAAAGGTTATTGATAAGTTGAACGAAAAATTATGCAAAAAGATTTGGAAGAAATCAATTGAGGCGATAGATTTGTCTCTTTTCGAGAAGCTATAAATCTATGTTGACAAAAATCACTTCATTATCACTCTTGAAATTCATTTAAGTACTTCTACAAAATTACCCACGCGGTACACGTGAACATTAAACGTATTTAAGCGTGAACACGTAAACTTCTAGTACTTTCGCTAAAATATCAAGTGTTACACAGTTGCATAATAAATTGTTTAAAACATCGGAATATCTTTGAATGAAAAGATTGAAAGGAAGCGATGAAATTTATTATGATAAGTCAAATTCATTAATTAATTTGAAGATTTGCCAATTAAAATGATAGAAAGAAATTAGTAAATTGTTAATTAAAATTTATCATCCATATTGTATGTGCCTACACCTGACAATACTTAATCTTTGGGAAGACGAATATTCATGGCTTTTTAATTTTTTGGAGACTTAATTACTTCATGTTAATCTTTTTCGACCGAAATAAAATTTGATATCAATTGAAAGGAATATAATCACCAAAATGTTGACATTTAGGAATGCTTACATTAAGATTGAAATGATCAATTTATACTTGATAAAACCAAGCTTATCAACATAAACCATATGTTTTAACATCATTAAATTCTTATTTCGATATCTAAAAACTGCCTCAAGTTTGCATAAATGATGAAAAAAAAAAAAAGAAAGAGAAAGCTTTTAATTTGAAAATGCTAAATGAAGAGTAAATTAAATCGCTACTATAATTGGTCATTGGTTAGTTGAACAAAATTGCAAAGTAATGGGAAGTTTTATACTTACTATACATTCCCCCAAACTTTCATGAAACTTTTTGCTCCATTCTATTTTAAAGTTTCAGATGCTTAAACAAATGTAATGTAAATGGACAAGAAATGTTGGATGCAAATTAATTGAATCACTGATTATAGAATACTTTCAATTAAGAAACATTGTTATGCCCTAAACTTTATTATCGTTTTTTTTATTTTACTTCAAATAGCAACATTTCAAGAAAATGTATTTAATATTGATTACACTTCTACGGTATTCTGACATTCCCTAACAGTTGGTTACTTTTTAGGATAAAGTGCTGTTGAATTTAATACTTGCGCTATACTGAATTGTTGAAAATTTGGCAACAACGAAACAAATATCGTTCTAAGATTAAATTTTTGAATGAAATGGAAATCGACTTACTGACCTATTAAACAAACAATCAATCAAATATATGACTGGCTGACTGGTCAACAGGGATATCGTACCGAAGTTTTCGTAAGATTTCAAGCGATTCATAAGAGTATCAAAATGTATGAAGACTCATAGATTCATAAGTTAATGGAAAATTTCAGTTTTTCTTCATTTGTCGCTCTTTTTTTAATCTACTTGCATTTCTGATACACACTTATAATGTTACACATATTTGCGTGAAAGTATTTCTTTAAAATAGCTGCATATCTTACATGAATATAGCAGAAGCAATATGATTAATGGATGCATGATTAGTGCTTATAACTACAAGGCTACAAGTATGGAAAGCGTAATGGACAGAAACGCTTCCAAGCATTCCACACAAATGGCTTGGGATTAACCGCCAAGAAGGTGCTTCAACATTAGAAGAACAGAATGCTTAAAATCATAAAGATTACCCAACACAGTCATTAATATTGATTTTACAAAATCCGCAGTTTTCACCTGCATCTCACTTAGATTTATCTTTCAGCAATTTCTACTTTCTCATCCATTTCTGGTTTTATTCCTTTCCAACTCCCATTTCCTTCTTGTCAGGCTAAATAGGAATGCTGTTCCAGCAAGTTGATCATTAATCAAGTTCTGGTTAACACTGTATATGCAATAGAAAATCCTATGCTTATATAAGTACCCATTACGAAATATAACCGATAGCATATATCCAACAGATAACAAAAAGCTCCTTCATTGAAACGAATTAATTTGCTAATAGCAAAATGAATTTAATGTATAAGAAGAATGTTATCCTAGTTAAAAATAAAAGCATAATCAGAAAATTTACACTTATGAAAAACAGCACTTTATATAGCTTATCATTTGAGTTTCAAAGCAGTCAATGTCCCGTTTCCAAAACAGAAAATCTACATGGAATCTCGCGGAAGATCAAACGGTAAATTGCAACTTCATTTGGAAGTCTCAATGTTGGCGCTGTAATTGGCTATCAGTCTTAAAATCTTTAAAAATGGAGAAAATTAGCAGAAAATACAAAGCTATAAAAGTGAAGAAAGCCATAGAATGAAGATATATTTCTAAATAACTAAAAGAGAAGTTGACGACAACTGTTAGTCCCGAATTATGTACAAGACTTTATATAAATTTCCCTCTGACTGCTTCATCAAACATTTTCATAAACAAAAATGAATAACTTATGATAATGCAGCAATAACTGTTAAATAAGAAAAAGATAAGTTGAAATGGAAAACGGTTTGAAGCAATAAGCGATAATTTACTCTTTCGCAAATGCAGTCTTCCAAGCAATAACTTGCTTATCAAATCCACAAGTGAACAGATCATAATTCGGATGATCGTCCGCCCAGGCAGTACAACAAACTATACGGCGATGACTCTGAAAATTAGCAAGAAAAAAAGATAAACAATAACTATATTCACAAGAAAGTGATATAACCCCCCAGAGGATAATGGTGCGGCAATTGCAGAAGATTACAGCCATTTTTTCCTAGTTTATCCTCACTAGGAAAAAATGGAGAAACAGAACGATTTCTTTCTTATTTTCATCCTATTTCGTCTTCTTTCCTAGTAAATTAAAATCATAGTGCGAGATTTCTTCTGAACAGATCTTGTATCATTAAGTAGTCCGACTCAACTGATCATTTCTTCCGCAAAAATTCAATGGAAGCTATTGCATCTTCTATATCTTTCGCTTTTTCTGTTCGGTTCGCTTATTTACAATGCGCTTCAAGTAAAAGATTTTGGTTGAGGCAATAAAATGCTGATCTCAGAAAATATAGAAATAGTTGACTCGAAGATTTCACTGAGCCATTAGAAGAAAAAATCTCAAAAAAAAATGGTGCTACTCAACATATGAATGTGCCTCGCTGATGACGAAAGCAGCACACAGGAAATCCTCAAACAAATCTTAGCAGTAACATATTTGACGTCCAGAAATACTCCTCACTTCATCAAAACAATCGAAATTAATTAAATATCATGATGGCCTTACTTGTCCACTCGCACGAGGAAGTCTTGTTAATCGAACGGTGTTCAAATCATACAATCGAATACTGCGATTATCTTGTGGAATTGCAACAACACTTCGTGACGAAATTGAAATTCGATTAACAGCACTGTCCAAACGAACAGTTACAATTGCACTACGCATATTGCGTAAATCCCAGACCTATAATATTATGAATTTTGACTGATTCTTGGAATTCCATAAAATTGCAGATTGCAGATTGAGTAGCAGATTGAATTAAAGATTTGAAATTCTTTAAAAGATCTTTTTTAAGAGGTACTAACTTTGATTGATCGATCATCACTGCCCGAAACAAGTTTTTCACCGGATGAAAATACAACCGACGTGACTGAGCTGCAAAGCAAATCGCGTTAATTTCAGAAAGGATCATATTATTTCATACAAAACGTAGTAGCATCATGCAAGAATCGTACTCAATATGCCCTTGAAAAACTGCAACAGATTGAATTGATTCCCGAAAATCCCAAAGACGAAAAGTAGAATCGCGGCTTGCAGTAACAATTAGTTTTTGCGATGGATGAGCATTACAGTGATTCAACTCGTCATCATGGCCTATAAAATATATGGCTGCTTTTTTCAATAAGTCTCGTTCAATTGAAATTTTAATTAATCCATACTCAGGTCTATCCAATACGTCGTTGAAAAACTACAACAGATTGAATTGATTCACCTTCTCAATTTCATAAGTGCTGCGCAACATTTTTAGAAAGATCAGTAGAATATTAGCAAAGTAAAAAAAAATCGACCCGATAAAATATTCAGAATTTCCCCTCGTTCAGCATCATAAATATTAGCAGTTCTATCCCAGCTAGCTGTGATAAGCTGTTCACCACCACTAAACCACTCAACAGCCATAACTGCATTAGCATGACCCGTCAAGCGCCGGAGCGGCTGCCGTACAATACTTGATGCATGAATCTCCCCACTGCCTGAACATATGAGTAAATAAATAGATATACGCACAGAAATTAAATATCATTAGTTTAGCAAATTTCAAATGAACATTTACCTTGCATGTCGTTCCCACCATTCGTTTGTTCCTTTTCAGCTAATTCATCATCTTCACTACTCGCAGCAGGGAGTTGGGTATTGCCTAAAAAATTCATCTCATAAAAAAATGATCTATCTGTTGACAAATATCAAAATCAGCAGAATGAACAGTAGAAGAAAAGGTTAGATGGAGAAGAAATCGCAAATAATCAAGTAAATATAACAAACAGGCTGAGATACTAATTGTTAATGTTCATGCTAATTTTTGAATGTCACAGACTTATGCCTTATCTTATATCCTTACTAGCCAAATGAAATGCAGATTTGAACGTGTCAAAGACAATCGAGCCATGAACATATATATATATATATATATATACATATGTATATATAAAGATTCAAAAAAAGAAACAGACCAAACATGACTATTAACCAACCTGGAACAACAGTTTTCCAAATATGTGCAGTACGATCGCCACTGGCTGTAGCAAGCATGAATTCAGTGGAATCTGTTGTTGACGGCCCGAAAGCAACACCATTGACCGAACCAACATGACCCGTATATTGGGCCAAACATGAACCTGCATCCAAAGACCACAGCAAGCATGTCTGATCTATTAAACAGTTGTAATATATCAATCGGAATAAAGTTGAATTAAATTCTACATATTTGATAGAGATGATTTAGTAATTTTGACCTCCACTGCTTTTTCAAACAAAATTTAATAACAGTATTGCATTGTTATTAGTATATTCATTTGCTAGTTAAGAAAATCAAATATAAAGTGATTGGACACATTTTTTTTTAAATAAAACCAAAAAGAACCGGCGGAAGCGCTCGCCAAAATCGGTTGTGACCCACGGCTTGCTGTCACATGCCAAATACCATCTCGATGTCCCATAAACGAACGAACATATCTGCATCGACGTGAACTATCACTAACGACTTTCAGGCTCTGTACCAGACGTCCTGGTGGAACTCGTAAAGCAGTCTTTAGTTTCTGACGCATTTGGTTACCTATAAGATGCAACATTATTATAGATTGTACCAACTGATTTCGATGTAGCACTTTTTGTAAATGTTAATCCCATCATTGTTGATAAATGCCAAATTAAGGTTTCCAACAGTTTTTACCAGTTAAAACAATCAGTTTATTAGTCATGCTGTTAAAACTACCGATGATCAGGTCATAATCTCATCTCCAAAATTCAAATTCTACCCGGCAACTATTTGAAGACAAGTCCAGAGAGATGAACCAAAAATCAAAAAATTCATTGCATGCTATTTTCGTATCATTCGTTATGATTGGCTTGTAATCGTCTGTGCAAAACTGTAGCACTTTGAATGGCTGAATTGTGCCGTGATGTTTCCAAATAAAAAATGCAAACTTGCACAAATATAAAAAATGGAGTCTTGCACAAATATAAAAAAATTAAAATTAAATAGTCAGCGTTATTCCTGAAAGAAAGTCAACAATGAACAGAATGACCTTTCCTGCCGACTTCTTTTCGTGCTGATAACGGATCATTTGGTGAAGAACAGACCTCAGGTGATAGCGTTACTGTTTCGCCCAGCCGTTCACTTAATTGGTTCAACTTTGTCTGCACTATAAATATTTGCATAACAAAAATTTATTTTCCGCACAGTTCAATATTCAATTCTGAACTGACGAATTTTTTATTGCTTTTTTTTCAGGATTTCATTTATTAGATTCGGAAGAACTTCTTCTAAAATCTTTTCTTTCCTTTCCATCGCTTAAGTTGCTCGCTAATCATTATGATAAGTTTAAAAAAATCCTTTCAAGCTTAAGTCTTATGAAGCTATTCAGTAGCAGTTAGCAACTGAAAGCTCTAAAAGGAAAATTAGCTCAACTAACAGATGAACGAGCAATATATGTTACTTTAAGCAAAAGTGAACTTATCAATTACTGACAAAGTACAGCAACCGATCGAAGATCAGTACTCAGTAAATACTTTTGTAGAAGAAGGTATATAATGATATAGCAAATGCACGTCACGTCAATATTAATAAAAGGATGAACAAACAGCTACCACACTCTAATCTTCCCTAAGCTTGTTTTCTTTAACCATTTTTTAATAGATGGTAAGGAATCAAAGTCTAATTTCTACTTGCTTTCTGTGAAGGTGATATCATTTTTTTAAAAGATAAGCATTTATTCCTATAACAAAATAATGAATTGATATAAAATAATGAAATGCTTACATTCGCAGTTCTCTTCATACAAAGAGTCAATTTCCTTTTCAACATATTCGAACAGCTGGTATAGCCGCGCCCTGAAATAGTTAATGTAGTACTACAACAAAAAAAAAAACCAATAGGAAATCATTTACATGATTCCATCAATTTGCATTGGAAAAGTTATACTCGGAAAACACGTCAGTGCTAATTTATCCCTTTATCAATTCTTATAGACACAACACAAAAAAATCCAAAGTGATATAATGTAAGAAACATATAATTATTTGATGCACGTAATATTTGCACCCTTATTTGACATTTGGAAAATATCATACGTTGAATTTCGACTAATTTCTAATAATCTAAATTCCCATTAAAGTGTAGAAGAGTTAAATTCGAATTTTAATTTTATTTAAAAATAACAGACGGTTGATTTTGATTTAATTTCAGTTGAAATGTGAAACGATAAATTTCGAATGATTTCAATTTTCGCCAGCATGTAAGGTGATTATTTTCGGATTATCTCAACAACTGTCCACAAAAATTTTAGTGGAAAATTGAGTAAAATTTAGAACAAAAGTTTTTCTCCAATTCCATAAAATATATTGAAAATCATACTTATGTGGTAATGCTATTTGTTCCATATCGGAATATTGCTGTTGCTGTTGAACACCTGAAGATCCTTGTTGTACATCACCGTCCGCCCAAACACGAAGCTTCTCAAATCTTCCAGACATGCACTAAACTTAAAACTTGAAACAGAACTAAATCCTAGAATTAACGAAATCTCGATGGAAGCTCACTTATCTCTATTCGTCTCTTCAAATTGCCGGATTATGAAATATAAGAAATCGTCTATCAATTATTCAAAGCAATAACTTAACTATATGAAGGGAAAAATAAGATACGAAATTTCTGGAGTGAATTATAGATTAATAAAAGAATTGACGACAAAGAAAAATATATTTTAAACAGGAAAAATAATAAAAAGAAGATAGAAAATCAATAAAAATAAGATATGACGAAGTGCTAGATTAAATCAAATAAAATCTGACATTAGAGAGAGGGTAAATTTGAAGGATACACGCACTGCGACTGAATTCATGATGCAACTGAATTTATGAAGCAGATGGGCCACTGGAGCTTTAACAGAGAACGATAGGATTCAACACATGTTATCTTAAGAGATAATGGTGAATAAAAAGTGCTGACAAATTGCACACGAAAATGCTAACAATAAAATAAGCTTAAACAACAAGCAGCATCTCTTCAAATAATCTATTAAACAAATAATCTGCTACAGGAAATAATGTTTTCATAAGCTTCTTCAAGTTGCCGCGTTAGGTTCGTGAGATATGGATGAGACTGGAGTATCGGGTGGGAGGGGTGGAGGACAGTTGGCCATGTTATGGCTTGGTTTTAACTTTGTTTGTTGTACTTTCGTTTTTTTATGGCTTATGCATATTGCATATGGGAAGAGAACTAACTAGTCTGGTAAGGATTTGTTCTCGCTTGTTTCGTTAGAGATGATTTACTTAAATATTTGATATTTTCACGTTTATTGATAGAAATATAGATTTTTATTGGTCTCACAAGTCTTCCAGTCATTCTGGTCGCATAATGCTCTCAGTCCTTCTTTGTGACACATCTAAATGCTGTTTCGTCACTTAAATCGCCATGATATAGCGTAAACTTGTTTATATCACTGGAAGCAAATATTACAAGGTAACTGATGGGTCTGAATCCAGATGTACCAAATCTTATACTGAACAGGCGTGTAATGCTTATCTTATATTGAACAGGCGTGTAATTCTAGTAATAGCGATACATGAAAACAAAGCGTGTACTTTCCAGGAAATTACAAATGATAAACTAAATTTGCTAGCTATTCTGTAAGGAGCAAAACGATCAGATTTATTACGGTGAAATGATCCGTACGAAACTGTTATCACGCTACAGTACTTTGGCTGTACGTGCCCTGGTGACAGCCGGTGCGGCAGAACGCTGTTTTACATCTGGTCGTTGTTTTCATAGCCATTGTGCTACTGATTTACCTACCGCCTCGGTCCATCATCATCAAAATGTAGAAGGCGTACATGCTTCATGTTGTGGTTTCCCAAAGCATCTCAAAAATGGACCTTCGACTGTACTCGATCAAGGTGTCTTTGGTGATGATGCATGCTTCATTGCACGTTTTGAAAATACATATGTGGTTGGTATGTGCTTGTTCATATATGCTTTTTATTTTCCTATAATCAGGGAGCATGTTGCACAGAGTGCACATAACACGATAGATTCATATGAATCATAAAAGCCATCGAATTTAAGTTTCAACATGTGTTGTTATTTGTATGTGCTTACTCATTTAGACTTTTTAATGTGCAGTAGGGGTTGAATTTTAGTCCCATATAATTGAAATGATTTTAATTCATTACCAATTGTTCTCTAGTAATTTTCAGTAAAACCAGGTCAAGGGAACTTATCTACATGATTGTTTGAAACAAGTGGCTCAGCAATTAATAGGCGATTTAATAGCTGACATAAACTGTATACAAAAAAAATAAATAAATATTGCTTCATGATATATGGCTGTGTTCGGAGTACTGTTCTACTATCAACAGGAAACCTACTGAGCTGAAATAGTCTAAATATATTGAAGTAGAGCTAGATACTTTCTGATATCAGGTGTATAGTTTTACATTCCAACGATGTATGGGTAATTCAGGGAGGGAATACTTATTTTTTTAAAGGTGTGGCAGACGGCGTAGGTGGTTGGCGCAATTATGGCATCGACCCCTCGGAATTTTCAAGTCGTTTGATGAAGCTCTGTCAGAAAATTGTAATGAAAGGTAATATCTTCATAAGGAGATTTTTTAATGAATATCATTTGTAATTTCAAGTAATATAAGATTATGGATACATTGTTTGAGGATGAAAAATGCAGTTTTCTTGATCATTTTTGGATTTCAGGTCAGTTTAAGCCGACTCGACCGGATAAACTATTAGCTCGTGCATATGAAGCACTCGCGAAGCCGCCACGTCCGACTGGGTCATCTACAGCTTGTGTACTTATTGTTCATCAGGATACGCTATATTCTGCTAATCTCGGTGATTCGGGTTATCTTGTTATTCGGAATGGCAAAGTAGTATATCGTAGTCGTGAACAAACTCATTATTTCAATGCACCATATCAACTATCATTACCTCCAACAGATGAAGGTATAAGTTATCTTTATCTAAAAAGAAAATGGCTGCTTTGTTTTAAATTTCTTAATGCTTTTGAATTTTAGCTTATTTGTGCAGTTCTGGGATGTTTTATGAAGTCTAGAATACTACCTTTGTGGGTTAATTTTAGGATAATCGAATGTAGTTGAAGGTTAATATTAAGTTGAAATACCAAGGACTTTTGAAGTTTTATAAAAAATCCTGCAGGAAATGGTAGTTTCCTTGGAGATTCTCCGGAAAAAGCTGAATCGGCATCATTGGATTTGATGAGCGGTGATATTATTGTGCTTGCAACCGATGGTCTGTGGGATAATGTGACGGAAGATGAAATCGTAAACCAGTTATCAGGTCTCAAACCAGGTGATGTGCAGGTGTGTTCGGTTTTTAATGGATTCTTGCTTAAAAAATTGAACAGTCCATGCTTCTTTGCTTCAAATAAGGCAAATAGTAGCTTGGAGTAACAGAAAGTGGAGATCCGTGGTAATGAGTGGTGAAGAGAAGCAAAGGATCGATAAGGGTGGATGAGAATTTTGTATCATTGAGCAGTTTTTTAAAACATATAAAGAACTGCAGTGTAACCTTGAATGTCAAAAATACTCAAGATATTAGTTGGTTTCGGTACTTTTAAAGGATACTATTAAACGTTCTAAAATTCAGTCAGTGAGCATAGGAAAAGAGTTTCTAGCACTCTTTTGCCAAAAACGCGATTTTATATTTCATTGTCTTTTTTAGAAAGCTTGCAATAGTCTGGCACTTACTGCAAGGAGGTTAGCGTTCGATACGCAGCATCTGTCTCCGTTTGCAGTAAAAGCACTGCAGCATGGAATCGACGCACCTGGGGGCAAACCAGATGATATAACACTTATTTTGTTATTAATTGCTTGATTTGTTGCGGCGAAATATTGAAATGCTGCGACTTCTTATTGTGCTCATCTCATGTACAAAATAAGATCATTGATTTTTTCTGGGTGGGTTTTACGTTATGACTATGTTAAACGTGGTAATAAATTGATAAGTTTAAAACGTCTCCATTCAACAGAGCACATCTTGCAGTTTCGCAGTAATATAGCATGTGTACATTTTTCTTAGTGTCTCAAAGTGATTAGTTGTGCATTGTGTTGTTATATGATTCGCAAGCACCATTAGGGATGGCATTGGTCTGTTTAAATCTTATTTGAATTTCATTTTAGGATAAATTTTGATAAAAAAGTGTGGAATATCAGAAACGCTTATGAATCCACTCTTCATTTACAAGCTAAAATTTTATTGCACTTAATCAGAATAAACTTACATCTTTCAGCGCGTTTAATTCATTCTTACAGCGACAAATTGAAAATTTGGTTTTAGATTTTTTAAACAATAGTCCTTTGCTATTCATTGTAGGTTCTTGGTAAGGTCCGATTTAATCAGCGTACTTCAAAGCAGTTCATTGTCGGCCACGTGTATTAGGCATACATTCCCATTTCTTCTCATACAGATACATTTTCTTCCGTTTTGTATTATGCGTAAGTGGCACTTTGAAATTTGTTGCGAACTAAGTCGTATGTATTGTATCCAGTGAATTGGATTGTGATTAAAAGATAAAATGCAAATGTGAAAGGAAGTAGAACTGAAGCTAGGAATAGTACTTCTACATTGCTGTTACTGTATTTTTCCTTTTGACTGTAATTAACATGACGCGAGAAAGGTCCGTCTTTGTTAAGCTGTTAGGAAGTTCTCGACGTTCAAATTCACACAGTGTTTAATGATTTGAAAACATTTCTGTGTTTATTAACTCTTTCTAACTTGCAGAGTTTCGTTATTTACTGTTTTGTGTTTCTGTGTATGTCTTACAGTGTGTTAGGGGTGTGACGGAGAGGTAGAATCGAAGGGACGCTTTGTGACAGTTTGCCAAAGAATTGTTCTATCGAACATTAACATGGATAAAACGAAAATAAACCTAAACATCGGTGTCATTTTGCATCATTTTGCTTTGTCAAATCCTTCTACTGCGATAGTGGTTTTAAATTCTTAGAATGAAAATATCCTTAAAGTTCTGGTGTGGTTGGTGTAAAAATTTTGAAAAGTGGAAGTAAGATATGGGGTGAACTTCAAAGCGGTAAGGTTTCTCATCGATTTTATTTTTTTTTTTTCAAACAGCGTAAGGCCGTTTTACCCGTGATTGCGCGACGAGTTATGGATATATAGGTAAATGCTGACTGAAGTTTGGAAAGGCATTTTCTATTGCAAATTGATGAGATTCCTCTCGAGATTTTGATAATCATGCTTATTACCAAATATTTTATATATATTCTATATACTCTGTTTTTCCATGTTATTTTTTAGATATTGTTACCTTGAGGATATGCGCTTACGGTTTTGCTTGGCTTCTCAGGCTGGAAACATTCTCAGCAAATTCCCGTTCATAGCAAGCTGTTCACAAATTCGCTCAGCATACAGTATGTAATAAACGGGTTCTTTCATTAAAATCGTTCATTTTTTTGAATATTAGGATTTAAATTATTTTAGGGAATATAAGCTGCAGTACTGACTTGTTACTAAATGTTTGAGGTCCTATTTCCAGTGCTAAGACTCGTTTCACAGTTCAGTATGCTATGAATTAAGGTTAGTAAGTTCTCTTTTTCCTTTCTAACAAAATACATAACCATTGATCTCGGTAGAGAGATGTATTGGGGAATTGGGTCAATGGGTTTGATGATGTGTATATTATATAGCTAAAAATTGATAGTATTATAAAACCCTGAATATTTATTAAGAAATATTTTAAGGTTAACGAAATTGCAGAATATGTTGGCGAATCAGCTCAGTCCGATGGAACATTGTTGGGTGATTTCCGCAGAGCCATGCACTATATGTTTATGACAGAGCTTGTAAGAGGTATGCATATATACATGTATTTCCATATTCAATTTAATTGATTTTATCAATATTAAATTCGCATTACGAAATTCTTTAGAAGACTCAGTAAAAAACAGAAGATAAAAGAAGGCGAGCACTCTTCTCCAAGTCATTTGAAATCAAGAGATAGATAGGTGCTGTTGGAATGCTTCAGAATGATGGAAGAATGAAATAAACAAGTCATACGTGAATTTACATTTTAGTGGGGAATTGGATCAAATTTTGGAATCATTTTATAACATGGTTAAATTGTTGTGTCTGATATTTACTATGTTAGTTATGGTTTTAATAATAGCTCTACATAAAATTCAGTTCTGAAGTATTTTGTTGTTGATTTTTGTAGTCCACTCTTTGTAATCTACTCTTGCATGATATACTTTCTAGGTATGGGTATAATTGTCGGTCATTACTTTATGGAACCTGCAACAATAAACTATCCATTTGAGAAAGGCCCACTGAGCTCGCGTTTCCGTGGTGAACATGCGCTTCGGAGATATCCATCTGGTGAAGAACGCTGTATAGCTTGCAAACTGTGCGAAGCGATATGTCCGGCACAAGTATAGGCTCTCTTCTTGATTACATAATACTGAGAATTGTATTTTTTTCATCCATTTTCCTTTTTTATAGAAATTTCTCAACCAATAACAGCGGTTCCAGAGGCTTTCTGAAAACTGGAATTCATTCGAACCATTCATGTAGCAGATTCTAAAATTAGTACTTCCTGGTTCTTTCTCTATAGAATTTTAGACTGTTTTACATTGCTCCCCAGATCGAATCTACATGCACTACGCGTTTACTTTCTTTTTTTTGATCTACTAATTTTTATTTGATCGACAGTTTGTGGATTCTTATTTATTTTGAGCAGTTTTTAAATTATTTCTGTGCGTTTCTGATCGTTTCAGGCAATAACGATTGAAGCTGAAGCAAGACCTGACGGAAGTCGGCGAACTACGCGTTATGATATCGATATGACAAAATGTATTTACTGCGGATTGTGTCAGGAGGCTTGTCCGGTTGATGCTATTGTTGAGGTTTTCTTTTTGAGTTCTCACTTTTAAATTCCCGTTTTTTTTTCCCTTGAACTTGTTCTAATTGTCAATTTTTTTCCATGTTTCATATATCTAAAAATATATGCTATGCTGAGTATTGTCTCATTTGTACCTGTTTAATATCACCATGAATTTATCTGTGTTTGCTCATAACTGTGATTCATAGTACGTTATGTTCGGAATTTTTTTCTAGGGTCCGAATTTTGAATACTCAACGGAAACTCATGAGGAACTGCTATATAACAAAGAGAAGCTTCTGTTGAATGGTGATCGGTGGGAGCCGGAATTGGCAGCAAATTTACAGGCTGAATATCTGTATCGTTAAGTTGAGGAAGTTTTAGTGACTGATCGTTGTATCGTTCTTCATTAGGTAATTAGTTTAAAGAACACTGTTTAGTCGATCTATTAAATGAACTAGAAAATAAATACTACCCATTGTGATTGTTTCTGCTGAATGCTGAATATACTGCAGCTGTTGTGAATATAAAAGGCCATGTTGTGGATATAAAAGATAACACTGCAGTCTAACTTCAGACATGAGATAACTAGTTGATAAATTAGTGGTTAAGCAATTGCGCAAGTCTGATAGCAGAACTTGTTCATTTAGAAAGTGTTTGCGTCGTTCGGATTCTCTTTGTGTACATGTTAGAGTTGTCTGAATAGGCGTACTTGTTCTTGTACTTTCCGCTTATATCGTTCATGCAGTTTAAGGGATATTATTTGTATAGTATATGCTTTATAAGGGTGCAATATTGGTACTAGCAAAGCTTTTTGCACGAAAGTTAGTTTTGACCTTTTTAATTGATTCAGCTCAAGATTTACCAGGTCAGACAATTCAAAATGATTTTCCAATGCTTTATAGCAGAAACTTCTGTATTAACAAACAATTTAGAGAGAATGACCCAACAACTGCATTTTACGCTGTCTCTGAAAGATATGGAGCAAACCCGGACAAATTCAACATGCAGTTGGGCTGGAAGGGAGACATAATATGCTGGTTAGTTGAAATAATTGTAAGCTAAGCACTTCGAACCTTGCTCGCCATTGGAAATATATTTCATTTCCTAAAGCTGGACTTGGGGGAAGACATTTTAGATATTTTATTATCGAGATAGAGCTAATTAAAAAGTTCATGCAAATATTTAAGTGTGAGGCGATTGCCAGAATTGAATCCTTTTTCATCTTTGGCCATTTTCCGCAAAAGATTGGACTGTGTGTGCGCTTACACTACTCATAATCGTTGCGCCTTCATCGCTGTAATTCTTTTTTTTCGATTTTACAAACCGAATTTAATTTATTTTATGACTACTAATGAAATGCCGATTAGCTTCATACAGGATTGTAACCTTTTGGAAATTTCAGAGTCAGGAGAGCGTTACACTTTCTTGTCATTGAGTCCTCTGAGCGCAGTCGGACTGCAGCTATAAATGCTGCATTCGACATGCAAAAGCTATCTTTACGGAAGATGAACTATTCCTATGGAAAGATAGATATACTCTCGAATTAGATTTACTACTAAGGGTCACTGATTTTATGTTTCATTTTACCACAGCATTTAAAGAAGTTCCATCGAGAAAGAAACCTTGGAGATAAATTAACAAATTCACTTCGACTAGTTGAAATAGAATTTGACTGAGCAGTAACAACTTCCTGATCATTTGTTTCTGTAACCGCACTTAACACATCTTGATACCATTCAACCTAAACGATTGACCATGCTTTGGTTCATGAAATAATAGCACATAGATTATGATTCAATTAACAGTTTGTAGTGATCGATACCGAAATTTCACCTCATAACACTTGTATTTTTCGGAAGTGAGAAAAAAAATGCAAAACCTGAATTTCGAAAATTCTTCACCAACCGGAAGATCTACTCTTGAAAAGTTACGAGCAAGATTATATGGCGGTAACCATAGTGTATGACCAAGAAGTTCATTTCGATCGCACATCCATGGTGGTTCATAAATGATATCATCGAGACGACAGAGGTAGACCTGTCAAAGAAGTACTAGTTTTTGACTTTATCGGTCGAACTTCAGCATAACTTGCTTTTATAGTTTTTATCTTCCTAAATAGATAGAAAAAAATAAGAGAAATTAAAAGGTATGCTAATTACGGTTACTTCTCGAGAAATTGCAGTAATCATCACCTTGTATGGTAATTTCTCGAAATCTCTTGACCAAGTTATTTGATCCAGTTCAGTGGTACGAAATATCACCAATTCTTCCAGTGTTTTTGGCATGGTACTCAAAAAGTTAGCGATGTTTGATGCGTTATAGTAATGCACATAAACGGAGATCTTTTTTAGGTTTAACGTTTTCAAAATGGTCATTTTTTGTGGTAAGGTACGGTGGCAACATGAGAACAGTGACGGTGGAATATCGAGTGCTTTCAGTTGAATTAACGTTCCTGAAATGATAATTACCATCACATCACTGATAGGCTATCTTATGCCAGGCTCAGAAGGGATGACTAATGTTTTAAAATAGTCTACTGTTCGAGCCTTGAATCTTCCATTTGGACTTCATATCAAATTCTCATTTTGTACTTTCTGAATAATAACTGAAACGAATCTATTTGTATCAATAGATAGAATCTATCGGTGACATTCCCAATATTGTCTCCAAAATTTATGGCAGATATTTGTAAAAATTTATGAAAAACGAAACGAGGAAATATTGTTAACACGCTGAAATGTTAGATTTCCAATTATTACATCTTAAATAATTAAAAAAAAAAAAGATCAGTTACCAATTGCCGTGATATACTGATCGAAATCAGGCGGATTGCACAAAACACCGGAGATAAGCAGTTCAGTAAGGGTTTGTTTCAGTGCATCACACAATTCACTGAATATATCCGGTTTTAGCACGATACCACTGAGTTGTACGGAAACCAATGGTGCGGAAATAATTTGCGTTAGCTGACTTTGACGTAGTACATTTTGAACTGTTTTCAATTCATCATAACGTTGCAGTATGCGTAATTTACGTAGTTTTTTCGTACATAATGCATCCAAACATGACAAACTCAATGAACTGCAACTTTTTAAATATAATAAATTGTTCGATAAAATATTCTTCGATATGATTTGCATCCAAATATGCTCTCATTTTATGATTTCCATTACTACTCCAAAAGCAATACGTGTGATTACGTGGTATTACAAGTACTGGTACGTTACTATTATTATATTGCAAATCTACCGCTGACATTCATACTTTTCATCATTATCATCAAAGGCTTCAACAGAGTTATCGGAAAACCAAAATATCTTGATTGTTGTTGATAAGGTATAATAATGTTAGATAATTAGTTGATAAGATTGATAAAAAACCTGAAGCTATCATATGACATTACCATTCTGCTCTTATGTTAGAGAGGAAAAGAAGAAAAAAGTTCGTTCATATTACTCAACTTACTTAAGCACAGAACTTGCTATAGTAAGAACATTGAGATGTTCAATTTTAGATAATTGTCGTAGATAGTTCTCATCTCGTATCTTTTGAATGACGATATTATTCAAATTTGGACAATGGTGAAGGATTAACTGTAAATTTAGAACTTCTTGATTCTTAATTAATGAGCGAGTTGCATTAGTAGTAAGTTAATTCGTCCATTTTCAGTTTTGAGTGAAACGAAGTATTCTTATTAAAATACTTGCACTTCAAAAGCATTTTAAATTTTTTGGTATTTTTCAAATAATCATTAAAGTATCTTGACAGATGATAATTACATGCCTTCAGATCACATTTTGTCGTACATTTAAAAACTTCACCGGCAATACACAAAACATCGTCCTTGATAGAAAGCATTGTGACATCAAGCCATGTAGAAAACAAAGAACCTAAAATAGTACTTTCAAAACTTCAAAATCAAATTGCTCTCCAGTGCCACTGGAAGGAAAAAATTAACACTGCATTGCTAGTTAGAGCACTTATTAAAACAATTACGGGAGAAGCGAATTCTTTTCTTCCTGGGAAGTAAGACTAAATTTCTTCTTATTTGTTCTACTACAACGAGACAACCCAACAATTGAAGACTTAAACCCGCTTACTAAGCCTCTTGTTTGTAGAGGCAATATTAGCCCTGGATTTGACATCCAAATGACTGAAGATGACATTCCAGACATCATCCGACAGATCCATTTTGCCCAACAATAATTAACATCTGTCTCACCTTATTTTTTAAAAGCTGCAACATTCGATAATTCACATATTTGCTTTGTCTTTGGTCATTATGCACGTTTTCTATGTTTTATGCAAATTCGTTTGACTATGTTAGAACTTCTTTATTATATTCTTAGATTGCAAGATGAATTACTTGAAAAATTTATCAGTTTTTATTACCTGATAAATTCCAAAAGGAGCCAAAAACACAATTACAGTATATAAATTTAACAAAATCGTAAATACTTTGTAGAAATGAGTTCACATAAGATAATAACAAATATTCTAAATATATACAAACCAATCAAAATGCGAAAAAAAAGAGGTTGGGAAATATGAAAAAAGTATCGCCTCACAATGCCTGAACTGTTTCACAATAAAACAAACATAATAATTAATAATAATAGTAATAATAATAATAATGATAATAATGATAATAATAATAATAATAATAATAATAATAATAATAATAATAATAATAATAATAATAA